TTGGTGGTGATGGTGGTGCCGATGGTAGCGGTGATTGCTGCTGCAGTTTGCTGCTGGTTGCTGCTATCGTTCCCGTTCCTGCTGCTGCTGCTGCTGCTGCTGCTGCTGTTGCTGCTGTTGCTGCTGCTTGCATGCAGCAACGGCATGCATATTTGTATACATTGTCTATATAAAGAGCAGCTGTCTCCTTTTTGTATATATGTCTCCGTTTGCTGCTTCGCAGCAGCAACAACAGCAACACGAAAACCAATAAAGCTGCTGCAGTGTGCTGCTGAAACAAATAAACCTCTTACTATGATTGTTTCGCTTATAAAGGGACAGATAGATAGAGAAGGAGAAGAGAGAGAAGAGACAGAAGAGGAGACAGCAGCAGCAGCAGCAGCAGCAGCAGCAGCAGAAGAAGAGGAAGAAGAAGAGGAGACAGCAGCAGCAGCAGCAGCAGCAGCAGAAGAAGCAGAAGAAGAAGAGGAGACAGCAGTAGCAGCAGCAGCAGCAGCAGAAGAAGAAGAAGAAGAAGAGGAGATATCAGCAGCAGCAGCAGCAGCAGCAGCAGCAACAGGAGCAGCAGCAGCAGCAGAAGAAGAAGAAGAGGAGACAGCAGCAGGAGCAGCAGGAGCAGCAGCAGGAGCAGCAGCAGCAGCAGCAGAAGAGAGAGAAGAACAAATGCATGCGTTTTGTTTATTTTCATTTATAAATTTTTCTACTACACCAATACGATATTTCTTTTTTATAATAAATAAAGACTCTAAAGAAACAGCAGCAGCAGCAGCAGCAGCATCTGCTGCTGCTGCTGCTGCTGCTGCTGTTGCTGCTGCTGCTGCTGCTGGTGGTGGTGGTGTTGATGCTGCTGCTGCTGCTGGTGGTGGTGGTGTTGCTGCTGTTGTTTTTTGTGTTTTGTTTGTATTTGTATGTTGCTGCTGGTGTTTATAAATATTAAAATATTTATTTTGTTTATTTATTTTATTTTCTTTTTTATTTTTTATATAAACTGAACTTATTATATTTCCATAACAAACAATACGACAAAAAGAAGAGACAGAACCATCCAAACAAATACCGAGAAAGCGGCTCCCTATTACACCCTGCATGCATGCATGCATGCACACAACACACACACATATATATTTTTTTATTTTTTATTTTTATATTGTAGACAATGCATGCATGCGGTGTATAAGGTGTATAAGGTGTATGCGGTGTATGCATGCATGCGGTGTATGCGGTGTATGTATGCATGCATGCATGCATGCGGTGTATGCATGCATGCATGCGGTGTATGCATGCATGAAAGGAGACAAAAAAGAAAGAAAAAGGAGACAATAAAGAAACAAAAGAAGTAGAAAAGCATAAAATAGAGAAACACAAAAGGAATAAAAAAGAAGACAAAAAAATAAAAAAAAAACAAAAAAACAAAAAAAGAAAAAAAAAAGAAATATAAAAGGAGACAAAAAAGAAATAAAAAAGAAACGAAAAAGAAAGAAAAAAAAGAAAAAGAAAAGGAGACAGCTTGTGTATGTGTTTTGTATACCAAAAAAGAAAACAAAAAACAAAATAAAAAAAAAAGAAAAAAAAAACAGAAAAGGAGACAAAAAAAGAAATAAAAAAGGAATGAAAGCAAAAAAAAAAAAAAAAAAAAAAAAAAAAAAAAAAAAAAAAAAAAAAAAAAAAAAAAAAAAAA